GGTAGTATAATTTTGTCAGTAAGCAATATTCAAAAAATATAGTATATATAATTGAGAATTATATTCTAAGATATAATTACATATTTTTAGTTTGAGAAATAGTTTAGTCATTACAGTACTTTCTGTTTCTTTTCTTTCTTTAACTCGCTGTCAGAGATTTTTATCTCTAGAATCTGAATAGGATGTAGGTGAAGTCATCCTGGGACTGAAGAAGAGTTACAGAAAAATAACTGAAAATTTCTTGGTGCTTGGTCATGAGAGAATTCTAACATCAAGGGCTGGATACTTAAGAACACATGTGGAATGAGAATCACAGCTGGCCCTCAGGGGTGGTGGGAGCTCTGTTCTGGAGAATCAGTCCTCCCAAGTCCAGAATCTGCAAATGACAGATAGCTCCCCTACCCACAACATAAGAGGCAAAGCTTCTGCCATACACAACCTGGGAACGCATGGGAAAAGCCTGTGAAGAATATAGTCACTCAGAGAAGACTGAAATTGCTTCCCAATATCAAGAAGTCCATCCTCCAATCTGCTATACCATCAACCTTCCCCCAGAGGAATGTGGAAACATGACTCACAATAGGGGACCAAAGCTCCAGGCTAATGTGAAGGGACCACAGTCCAGCTCACAAGAGGGGATCACAAGTCCAGGTTCACTCAAGTAGGACCAAAACTCTGGCTTATAGGCAGAGCCACAGCTCCAGCTCATAGGAGGGGACCACAACTCTGGCTCAACTATTTAATGTTGTTTATCAGAATATATCAATTAAATTTGAGAATATTGATCTATAATAATTTAGTTATGTTCATCCCTGTGTAGGACACCTACTTCAGCCATCTGTCTCCCAAGACTCAGGGAACATTGTGTTAGAGAGGTGGAACGACTGTAAGAGCCAGATTGGGTGGATGACAACAAGGAAATAGTGTCTTAAAGACAGCTGGCCAGTTACTCATATGAAATTTCAGCAACAGTGACAGCATGCACAAGTCACGTGGATGCTCGAACCAGACAAAATTCCACAATAATCATGGATGAGTAGGTAGGAAATCCCAAACCAGCCTAAGGAATTTTTGGAAATTGATGACTTCTGAAAAGGGACAATACAGTGTCTTACTTACTTATTCTTGGTGGGCCCAATGGATGAACCCACACTGAAGGATATCAGCAACAGTGACAGCATGCACAAGTCACGTGGATGCTCGAACCAGACAAAATTCCACAATAATCATGGATGAGTAGGTAGGAAATCCCAAACCAGCCTAAGGAATTTTTGGAAATTGATGACTTCTGAAAAGGGACAATACAGTGTCTTACTTACTTATTCTTGGTGGGCCCAATGGATGAACCCACACTGAAGGATATTTGTGAACAGAAATCATATTCTATAGCCAAATATATATATATATATATATATATATATATATATATATTTTATATGTCTGTGTGTTATGCCTGTATGTAGGTAAGTGCACCCATGTCGTGCAATGCCCGAGGAGGACAGAAGAGGCTGTCGGATCCCCTGGAACTGGAATTCCAATATGCATGCAGAAAGATGCCATTATATTGATTCTAACAGTTCTGTGTACAATGATAATCATGGCATATACCCATAGCTTTTATTCAGATTCCTAATCTCATACGTTTCCAATACTGTCACAGGTATTTTTTTTCAGAAGAATGTAATTTTAAACTGTTTTAAAATTTTAGCAAATTTCCCCAAAATCCTAATCACAGCTGAATTATATGTTCAATTTTTGCATGTGTTGATATTTTCAATTGACTTATCTTTGTGTGTCATATTTTTAATGTGGACAAAAATCTTTCTGTAAGTATTGATGTGTCTTGCAATCTCAGTAAAATCTCTATGGAAGAATATTTTCAATTCCAAATTCTGTTTTAAACTATGTTACTATTTCAGCCCAAGTATTTTTATAGTTCCTCTCTGCTCAAAGTATCTCTCTGACAAATGTACTACATGAAATTTGCGCACATGTTCCACTTATGAAGCAATACTAAAGTTCTATATTGCAAAAACCCAAACTTTTCTAATTATAGTTCAATAAGACCACAATGATTTGATAGTCTGTCCTCTTGCAAACTCGTGGTGCAACTTAATTAGCCCTGTAATAATACATAGAGTTGAGACAGTTGAAGTTGACTAGACACTGAGGGTTTCTCTATCATAAATAGATGCTGTTATAGTGGGAGTGCTTCTTATAGAAAGGCAAGCAACTCCTCACTTGCCTTCTGTTCTCTTCTGCTGGATGGCCTAGGAAAAAAGCTATCTCCACATGACATCGCCCAAATCTGTGTTTTCCTAATCTGCGGAACTGTAAGAAATGAATTTGTAATCTTTACAAAGTAAAAAATAAATTAATTATAACACACAATGAAGTCGAGACAAAAACGAGAATATGTGAACTCATATTCAACCTTTTGGATAAAGATAGCATACTTGAAAGGTTCCAAGAGAGAAATTCAAATCCAGTGAAGAATGCCACACCTCATTAACAATCAGGACAATTTAAATTAAATCTAAAATAAATATCACTTCACACTCATCAGTTAACAATCTTTTTATAAAATTTCTCTAAATGCCAAGAGATAACAATGAAGTGCAACCTCAGGAGTTTCTAGCAGGAATAAAAGCACCGAGGCCACTATAGAACAGTGTAGATCATGTACCCAATTTGAAAATAGTAATCATCTTTAACATAGCATTTGAAACTTTGAAAATAAACCTATAACAATGTGTTTATGCTCACTCTAAGATGCACAAGGAAAGCTACTTTGTATGCTTCTCAAAAGGCAAAGGCCTCAAGACACACAAGTAAGAAGAAAATGAGTAAAGAAACACAAGTAAGAGAAGAAAATGAGTAAATCAGTGAAGAATTGTGACAATTAAAATTAATGAGAACAAACACACAAATCCTAAAGGTCATGAGAAGCGAAGCATGCAGAGTACAGGGAAGAATTTTCAACAGACGAAACAAGTACTAAGGACCTGAGTCAAGGATGATCTGGAAAACATTGATGCATAAAAAGGTGGGCATGCCTTGAGGGTAGTATATGATAATTGAAAGTTGGCTTCACAATAGGGCCTTATATGCAGCATTAAATATGTAGAAATTCATGACGTTAGTGATTATACTTCAAATACCTAAAAGCAAATAAAGAAAAGGGAATTATTTACTTTTCCCTAGAAATTATCATAGTAGTCTTTGATATATATATTATATATATGTTAGTCATCAAAGATTAGATATCATAAAATTCAGAAAATTAATAGATGTGTAATATACATATTATATATATAAAACTTGATGGTAATACAGACTATCTACAATTAGGTTTTTAGAGATATGATTCATAATTAATAATTTTGTGTGTATGCGTATGTAATGTGTATGTGTATATGCGTTGACATTCTGTGAGTGCATATTTGTGTTCCTACATGAAAAGCCCAGAGATTGATGTCTAGTGTCAGTGTCTTACTTAAATGTCTATGCAGTGTCCTTTCCTTGAACTTGGAACACACCACTTTGAGGAGTTTTGTCTAGCTAGCCATCTTGGTCCATTAATTATCTGTCTGGGCCTCCCAAGTTCTGGGTTTACAAGCAGTCAACCAACCACACCCACCCAGATTTTTATGTGGGTACTGGTAATCGAACTCTTGTCACACTGTTCTAATGTTTTATCTGCTGAGGCATCATAATTTCCCAGTTATGGGATATTTGAGATCTTTCCCAGTATTTTCTAAATTGAGTTAAAACAAAGCCAGTGTGGTAGCCAACACGTGTGTTCTCAGCACTCCAGGAGGAGTGCAAATTCAAGATCAGCCTTGGCTACATACCAGCCTGGTCCAAACCAGCCAGGTTGATAGATTGTGACCCTTTCTGAAAAACTGAACATTAACAAATACAGTCAATAATTCTATTCTGTAACTATTTGTTTAGGTTTTATATACATGATGATCAACTCCTAGAAAAAAATACTCTAACTTTTAACCATCCATGAATATACTATTATTATTTATTTTTCAGGTTTAGTGTTTGATTTTTGTATGAGTCACATTATATTTCTGGTATAATCATTATAATATTTATCAAGGTTACCAAATCAAATTCTTGGATTAATAGACAATGAATTTTCATATGTACAATATTTTATTTTTGAAATCATTCTTAGCAGTGTATTTAGCAATTGTTGAACAAAAACTTGTGGTCTTTGATCGTAAGTGAAAGCTATATTTTCGTTTAAAGGTCAAACTAATAACTTAGAATGTATCATTGCTGTGTTTCAAGAAGCAACTAAATGTTTCCATATCTTATTATTTTATTAATATTTAGATAATTATTTCCACTACATTGGAAAGACTGAAATGAAATTATTTCCTCTTCATCATTCATTTTACATTTCTCCTTCCCTAAAACCCTGAGCACCAATAAATTCTTAGGTATAAATGCATACTAAGTATATGCAATCGTTAGTAATTTGTAAAATTATATTTACTCCTATCAAATATATCTAGATCCATAAATATTATTTAAATGTAAATTCACAATATACTGTGGCTTTTAAAATATGTAGCAGGCTGGGCATGGTGGCGCATGCCTTTAATCCCAGCACTCGGGAGGCAGAGGCAGGTGGATCTCTGTGAGTTCAAGGCCAGCTTGGTCTGCATAGTGAATTCCAGGACAGCTGGGGATACAGGGAGACCCTGTCTCAAAAAGATCAAAAAAAAAAAAGAAGTAACAGATGAGGAATTTGCATGTCATCCTTGGACAGGGACCATGTTATACTTCTTTGTATCATTCAAGTTTTAGTGTGTGCGCTGCTAAATTCAGTGCACACTCTAATTTCTGTAACATGACTAATGTGTTAATAAAATCATCATGATATGCAAAACTTTGATATCTGAAATAAAAAGGGTTATAGAAAATAGAGTCAAGTTTTAAAAAATACTAAAAATGCATTGTCAGTGTAAAATAAAATAAAATATATTGCTCCTGAGTGCAAAAGTTATTGCAATATTATACTTTTTAGAAAGTTAACATAAGTGCAATTGCACTATAACAAATGACTCACTTTATTTTGGCAAAGTCCTAAATTTTACCTGTGGAATGGATTATCAAGATGGCTTACATTTTGATAATGTTGTGACAGAAATCACAAGGCGAGTTTTCATGCCAGTTGTTGTTGCAGTGAATCTATGTAGAAAGCATTTGCTGTAGTACGTGCCAGTGTTCTCTGTGCACCTCAATTTTTCCTGACAGTAGGATATAATTTTCTGAGTTCAGTTCACCTAGTAGGTTTCATGGATGAAATTGCACAAATGCAGCACATAATTATTGTTATGCTCCAATTACTCAGTGATAAAACAATCATGTTCAAAGAAATTTGTTTCAAAATAAGTGTTGCTGCAGAACACACTTTAAGTCCCCTTTCCACCATAAAATTGCCAGAATCCAAATAAAATGTGCTGAGTGGGTGTACTTTGCTCATATTTATATTTCTACTGGGTTTATATAAGTAAACATGTTATCATGTTCAAATGATTTCAAATTCATTATATTTATATATTGGAACCATCTCTGTAGGATTTATATGGGCTAGCGTATTTTATTCAATTTGTAGACAACTTCAGATTAATAGAGTCAAATTTCACAGAGTACAGGCACACTTTGAACTGTAGATTCTTCTGTTTTATAGATAAAATTCTTATACAGCAATGGACAAAGACAAGAACATATGGAATTCCTAAGCTGCATTCCCAGGTAGTAACAGGGTGCATCTTCAGTTGTAATTTTGTCATAGCCTGTATGAGCAGAGCTCTTAATGAAATTGATTCCTTGAAAACAACATATGAATCCAAGGGTAGAATGCTGTCATAACTGTGGTGAGAGCTTTAAATTCTTAAGATCAATAAAATACTAAATGCGTTCTTAAGATGCTGCTTGTGCAGCATTTATTACTTTTGATTGATTACTGAAATATGAAATGCACATTTCCATAAGCAGTTCTTTTTCTCATAAACAAAGTTCAGAAACCAAAATGGAAAGTCAGTCTTTCAAAGAAGACTTGGGTTTTTTACTTGCCCAGAATGGTATTATGACATAAGAAAACAAAAGACATAAAATATGACATGGTAACTGGAAATGGTCAAAGGTAATAGAATATCAGTGAGCCAGCTGCATTCATGCATACTTTATTTTTATTTTTGAGAATTTGATACATGAGTATAGGTATTCTTTGAAATAATTCTATCCCTTAAAGCCCCTCTTCAAATACTCCAATGACCCTGCTGACACCTTCTTAATTTCTTTTCCTCTTATTTACCATTATTTCATATAAATGCATACATGTATAAATATACATATTTCATACACATATATAAATACATTATATATATATATAAATATAAAATTTACTGTATCCATTTAGTGTTGCTCCTTTGTACCTATGTATATAGCTGCCCATTTAGATTTAGGTAACCTCTCAGGGAGCTAGTCCCTTGAGAAAAAAATATTTTCCATCCTTCAGCTTCTATTCAGTGCCTTTGATTCTTCATCTTGAGGTGGACTCCCTTGAAATTTTCCCCATCCATCTTTGTATGTCAGTTTGTTTTTTTATTATATGCGGATCTTGTTAGTCTACTGTTGGTGTAGCTTTCCTATCTTGTCTATAGTGCCTTAAGTAGCTACATGTGTCATGTTGCTCCTGCTTCCTTTTCCAAGATCTTCTGTGAGCCTTGGGTGTAGAAGTTACACTGCCGAAATATCATTTAGGGTTGGACACCTCACAGACACTTATTCTCTGTGTTTGACTATTTGTGGGACTTTGTAATGGTCTTCATCTGTTGTAAAAGAAACTTCTTTGAGGAGCAGTGAGAGGTACACTTGTCTGTAAATATAAGGATACGTATTTAGAATATAGTAACAAATTACGTTGTTCTAGGGAAGTGATAGAAATAGGAGTTTGTCTAAGCTCTTTGACCACTCCAGCCATGTGTGCTGGCTATGTTTATAGTACCACACATCAAATTCTCCCACTGAGCAGGTCTTAAGTCCACATTTAAATAACTGATATTAATAAAAACCATCAGTAATTAATAATTAAATAATATAAAAGTGCCTATTTTAGTTAACAGTTTGCTGTAATATTTAAAATAAGTTGCAAACAATGTGTATATTTCTATCACTAATTACTTGAATGCAATATACAATTAATTTGCCAAAATTTCTAGCACCTTTTTTTTTCTTTTAGAATCTCATACATATATGCAATATATTTTAGTTCTGAGCCTAAGCCTTTAACGACTATGCAAGCTTTCCAGCCCAATACATATATTTTGATCATATCAAACTTCTACCCCCATTCAACTCCTCCCAAATTCCTCCCCATGTCCACTTCCCAACTTCAAATCTTATTTTTAATAACACTCTGAGTTCGATTAATGCTACCCGTATATGCATGGGTATAATAATATCCATTGGGGAATGGACAACCTACAATATCTACAATCCTGAAGAAAACTGACTCTCGGGCAGGTAGGAGACATCAACTGCCAATAGATACTTAGCTGCAGGTGGTGCCTTTTGTGCTCCTCTCTCATTCTTATTGGACTATTTACCAGCTTGATCTTGTTCAGGTTTTATGCAGTTAATCACAGCTTCTGTGAATTCATGAGTACAGTAAACTCACAGAAGGCACTGATTTACAGCAGTTTTCCCTGACCCTTTCTCTTACATTCTTTCTGCCACCTCTCGGAGATAGTCTATCTGTATTGGCATGAGGGGAGTGATATAGGTGGCAATTTAGGGCTGAGTACTCCACAGCAATTTATTCTGTGGACTTTGAACATTTATGAGTCTATTAACTCTCCATCCACCTGCATTGCCAGAAATGCTTCTTGGCTACATAAGCCATGGGCCCTAAGGAAGAAACTGATACTGATACTTTACTAAATGGACATAGTATTATAATGACTCTTAATGACTTATTATTATAACCATAGATCAGTGCATCTCTCAACCCTCATTAGAGAAGCTTCCTCTTGTAGTAAAAGGCAGTTATCTCAGAGACTCACAACTGGTCAACACGAAGAGAATAAGAGATTTCAGAAAGTTCAGTCTTAAACTGAATAGCTCTATAATACCCCTTCTCCAAGTGCTCACGGATCTTCATGGGAAAGAGAGCAGAAAGACTATAAAAGCCACAGGTGGTGGATGACTGAAAGGAAATAATGTCATCCAGACAGCAGTGCAGTTGCACATATGAACTTAGAGTAATTGCAACAGGGTGCACAAAACTTGTTCAAGATCAAGTTGACAAAATATTGCACTATGGACAGGGGGAAATGGTCATGAATACTCAGCCCTTGTTGAAGAACTATTGGAATGTGATAGCTGCTTGGAGAGGAAAAGTCCTTTTTCTTTAAGGATATGATCCTTGGTAGGTTAACCACAATTCATGTCAGCATCCACACCTAAGAAAACTGGGCCATACAAATTGGAACAGATGTGGGCAGGGGAGATGAAGCAGTGTGGGTAGGGAGGTAGAGGTGGAACTTGGAGGAATAGGCAAAGGAGGAAATAAGGTTAAAAACATATTGACGTTCTCAAAGGCTTAGTAATTTTTTAAAAAGATGCTTCTGTAAATATAGCTGGGAATTGCACTAATCTAATAAGAAAACAAAAAAATAAATAAATTTAAAAGTAATAAAGTAAAACACAACCATTGACCTAACTCCAGGTATGCAAGTCCCAGCTCAGAAAACTGAAACAACATGAAAAAAAGACAGTATGTTTTCTGATCATATTTACCATTACATACTGTTATTCTTGAATTTTTATATAAATTTATCTCTTCACATGTGCATGTACCCAAAATAAACATCACATATGCATACACACAGAGAAAGTGACCCTAGAGAGAACATGGGTAAGGAATGAGGAACATAACTCTTGTGGAGCAGCAATGGTAGGTGGAGTTGACATAAGGATCGGAAACTGGGAGTCTAGAAAAAACTGACGTTTATAATTGTCCCTATATATTTCTGGGAATTTTGTACTTTATGAAGCCAAATATTGAAATATTGAAACCATAGATCTCATATTAGAATCTTATCTCAGTATATGATTTATAAATGTATGTAGATTTTCTATTTTAAGTTTATATTGTAGGAAATGAATGAATGAATATCTGTCTCTGTGACAGGAGTTGGGCAAAACATACATTTAATATCTGAAACTTTTACTAGAGTACAAATCTGGAGATACAAATTAAAATATTATTATCGCCTTTCCCCCTCCTCTCATTTATGAGTGTATATCCTGGAGGAAGTTTGAGGGAAGAGATGTGAATCCACTATTCTCTCAGAAGGCTGAATTTTCACATACTTTCCAGCCTCCTCTTAGGATGTGAGTCAAACATCATACCACTAAGAAATAAGCAATTGACTACTTCTGCTGCTACCTCTTTGAGTAAATAGTCATCTGTGCCTATGCTGATCATAAAGAAAAACTGATAATGGTCTTGATCCACTAATAGTGAAATTCTTGTCGCTAAAGGCTTTTTGTTGTTGTTATTGTTTTTTTAAATGTTCATTCCCAACAAGATATGTTTGTTAAGAATTTTCACAGTAAATTTGAATATGTATCTTTTTTTACTTAGGTTAAAACTTAACTGCTGTATTTGTATTAAATTCCATCTTCCTGCTTTAGAAGAAGTAACTGTAACATATGAGTGTACATATTGCCTCATAGGCTGATCCGTTATAAGATCATGGATACAAAGTAGCTTTTATAATCACATTGGTTTGTTTTGATCCAATTACCTGTCACACTTA